CCTAGGCAAGAGAATGAGCAACCATTTGGTATCATAGTGCAAAAGCAATTTAAAATTTGAAAACAAATATGAGTGAAACGAATGAATTTCTTCAAGACAAACATATTCATTGTATTAAGATAATCATTCAGATGCAAACAAGTTCTTACATGCAAACAATGTTTTGATAAACAAGAAAAATTACAAAAAGCAGAAATAAGTTAATAATCTGGGAAGGCTTTCCATCTGGACTTGAATCACCGAAAACATCCTTCAAAACTCAAAGTGACCACCAATCGTGTTTACTCTTCGGCGCATGCTTGATTTGAACTTCAAAACCAACGTCCTTGAATGACAAGATACCACTTCTGACCAACTTCTGAACCTCGATCTTCAAAGCAAAGCAACCCTCCAAGTCATGCCCAGGAGCACCTTGATGAAAGGTACAAGCCAAATCAGCTTTGTAGTACCAATGTATCTTCTCAGAAACCTTCGGTGGAGGTCGGGTCTGAACCAAATTCCTCTGCATCAGGATAGGGAACAACTCTGTATAGGTAATTGGAATTGGATCAAAATGGGTTTTCCTTTGATTAGGAACTTGCTGATTCTGTTGATGAATAGGAGAAACATGATGATTCTGACGATGATTATTTCTTCCTCTGGTTCTCTTCTTGGAAAAGTTATTATCAGACTTCTTCACACCATTAGCTGAGCTACCATCTTCATATGAACATCCCTTCCCAACGTCTTCTTCTAGACGCACTCCCACATTCACCTTGTCAGGAAAGTCATTAGGTGCATTAACCGTCACCTTCTCATGAGAATGATTTTAGAGTTTCAGTGAAGACTTTTATCATCGCTTCCTCCCTCCTAAAAGGATTGACTTGGGCGGCAACCAAAATTTCGACCAAACCAGTTAAGTGCTCCATACCAGCTTTCAAAATAGTCATCTCTCTACGGAGTTCAGAAACCTCTTGCTTGATATTCTCCATTGTTCTCTTAGCGCGAGTGTTGTACTGGCGAGACCAAAGGAAAAATAAGACTCGGAAAAGACCTTTGAAAGTGAAACAAAAAATGTAGAATGATGTATGATATGCAAAAGAGAGTTTTTATTTGATTTTCAAGGAACTCAAGATATTAAGTTGTAAACATCAAAGTATGAAGATAGAAGATGAATTTTAAATTAGCTCCAAACATTGATCAAGTTATCATCAAGATCAATCATCCATTTTGGTGGATTAGGGTTTTCGCCCTATCAACACCCAAGATCCATTGAGCTTGACGAAACTTGTGATGTTTACAAAGAAAGACCTCCAAATTCCTTCAAAGTCAAGTGAAAGGGGTTTTATGAATGCATGGCTATGCAACAACCACAAGCAAGGTCACAAATAAAGTCGAAAGGTTCAACGTCACGAGCATGGAGTCAAGGTAAGGAACACCCCCAAGGTATGTACTAACGGTTTAATCACACCTGCAAGACAAGGTTCTAAGAGTTCCCGGAGTCTACATTCCTCCTTTGGATATTACCAACATCTTGATTACTCAATAATCAGCAATATTCTCAAGAGAAACTCATCCGAGCGTAGCATCGCGTAACAATTATTTCCGGATTACTCCGTTATAATCTCCGCGCTACACCTAAAAGGCCAAGATGGGTTAGGGTTATACGGTTCCCAGCTTCTCTGGCTCCCAGGTCGAAAATAATAATGTCTTCTCGATTACTCGGTAAACAAATATTACGTTCAAAAGGGCCTTCCACTGAGTGGGGGATCTCATGCCTCCTTCTTCGGGATTACTCCCTCAAAGTTAACATGACTATACCGCCCGTCTTATTCCTAAGTGTAACTTAGTCCGGGTATAGGACTTGTCCTTTGTAAATATTATCAACACCCAAATAATCATAATATATACATATAATCAAACAACCAAATAATGATAAAACAGATAAAACAAATTAGGCTTAACCCACTTAGGGATGGACCAGCAAGAGGTCAATCTTTCCCCAGCAGAGTCGCCAATTCTGTAGCGGTGAAAATCGGAGATCAAGCTATTAATTAACTTGACTCCCAAAAAGCAAGAGTCGCCACCACGCTTTATTATTTCCAAGGGAAAAGGGAAAAGAGCGAAATAAAACCCTAAAATATGCAATGTAAAATAATACTTAAAAGTAATAAAAATACAATGCGTTTTTGAAAGAGATCGAGAGTTCGGGGGTTGGTTATACAATGGGAAGGTATTAGCACCCAATGCATCTGCGGTACTCCGCAGGAACCTTTTGAAATATCTGTTTTTTGGTTTAAAATTGTTTGTTTGATTAAAATGATTCGTTTGGCTAAAAGATGGGTATGGACGATATTTTTGAAGATACGACGACCTAGTGTCGAAGTTTTGACTTAAAAGGTGTGAGTTTAAAAATTGAATCTTTCGGGAAAATTATCTTAGGTTTAACAAAATAGTAAACAAACAAAAGATGAATGAGGGTATTCGCACGATTGGATGAGATGTATTTGATGACATGAAGTCAACAAATTTAAATCTTTCCCTTGGAGTCAAAACCACAGACAGATAAATAAGCTAAGAGTATACCAAACCTTAGGTGAAAATAAATCACAAGTCGACAGCATCATCAAAAAAACCAGATGTAAGATATTACTCCAAGCATCAGATAAAGCGCAAAGGCGGTGGATAAAGCTCACGGTGTCAGATAAGAATCCCTGCATCAGATGAAATATACAGACAAAACTAACAGCATGAAAAAATTATATGCGTCTGTGCGATTTTTAGAAGTTAGTTGGAATTTAAAAAATAAAATCGCAAATGCGTTGAAAATAATATTTACATAACCTGAATTTATTTACAAATTAGGTGAATAAAATATATAGACAAAATATTATGAACAAGTATATATTTACAATACCAAATAAAATAAAATAATGAAATACAATAAAGAGGTAAAGGGAGAAAGAAAAAGTGCAAATGCGCTATGCGAGTATGAATACTGGAAATAGATTCTCGGAAACCTTCACAGTAACAAACACGTTAGTAGCATAAAAAATTAAAATGAAACGAAATTGCAATGATTAAAATATGTGTCAGTAAGTATAAAATAAAAAAATGAAATTGTATGACGCATATGAATAAATGAATACAAATGAAAATCAAGGATTCATGACATTATTCAATGTAAACACAAAAATCAGCATTGCATTCATTATTTCAAGTGTTTTTCATCAAGTAAACTCGAAAGAAATCGTTGTTTCAACCACAACGGAAAAAAAGAATCAAAAGTTCACATTGAATTCAAAGTAGACTCAAAGATTATCATGGTTCTTAATTCAAAAAGGAAACGAAAAAACAAAGAACTCATGCCAATATTTCAAACCAAAACCGAAACATAGAAAATTGATTTCGAAACAAACTAACTTAATCGTACCAAATCTGGGCAGCAACTAATGAATACGAAACAACGTTCAAAAACTCAATCTCAAAAATATTCAAAACAAGTGAAATGCACAATGATGCCTACAACCAAATTTTAATTTGAATTCCAAATTAATCTCGTCATAATCTCCTTCAAATTTGCTCGAATAACATGAAGAGAAAAAAAATCAAGTTCGGTCAAAATCTTAATCGAGCAAACTATTCCGGGCAGCATAACAGTAAACACGATTATCACATCAAAAATGAAAACACAAATCAAGAACCAAGCAAATGATAATTATTCAATTCCAAACATGGTAAACCATGTTCTAAACAACCTTTTACTCCACCAAACCAAATCCGAGCAACAGCTATCATAATCGAACTTCACAATCAAACCAATTTCACAGAGATTTTCTTATAGCGTAAAAGTTCTAACTCGAATGAGAAACAATTTGGGCTTAAAAATAGCAGATTCAAGACATATTCATGCACACAAATTCAATCACAGCATCAATCCAGAAATGTTTCAGCTATGAAATAATGATGGAAATTGATCTTACCAACTCATAAGTGAAGCGTCTGAACTTTAGTAACATCTTGTACCTTACCTAGAATGAGTTCAACATCATCAACAAAAACCATCCTCAGCATCTCATCTGCCTCGTCAAGGACACGAAACTTAAGGTGACTCAGGTAAATATTTTTCCTCTCAATATGATCCTTAATACGACCCGGCGTTCCAATAATTACATCAACGCCTCTACGAAGTTTAGCCTCTTGTGCTCCATACGGAGCTCCACCATACACGGCACAAGCAGCCAATCCCAAGGACGAACCATATACTTCAAAGTCAGCAAGCACCTGATTAGCCAATTCCCTGGTAGGTAAGAGCACAATAACACTTGGAACTCTCCCATAGCCAGTCTTTCTTACCGATTTAGCTGGTCCATTTGTCAATGACTCCAATATAGGCAAAACAAATGCAAGAGTTTTTCCCTGACCAGTACGAGCACGCCCAACCAAATCAGACCCATCAAGAATTGTATTAAAAGTCATAGCTTGAATCGGAAACAAAGCTTCAATCCCCTTCTCTTTCAGCTTCATCTTTAACGGTTCCGAAATTCTAAAATTCGAAACCGCATTCGGATCATCCTTCTTCACAGCAACTTCTTCAACAACATCCTCATCTTCCACCTTCGATTTCTTCTTCTTCATTGATTTTGATTTAGGGATGTCGATTGAAACGGCTACGGCTTCGTCGGTGATGGGGGTTGAAGGAATATGGTGGATATGGGCGTGTGAAGATGAAGGGCGATTGGAGGTTGCAAGGGATGCTAGCGGACTGAATAGAAGGGTAGATTAGATTGGTTGTTGTGGAAGTTTGGTGAGTTGCGCTGATTCACGGTTGAAACAAAAGCGGAGCGGGTTGCTGTAAGGTGGGTTACGATGATGTTGGTGATTAAGTGAGGTGAGTGGGTTAAAGGATGTGGCTAAGGGTTTTGAACAGAGGGAGGTGGTTGGTGTGGCGAAGGAGTGGATGCCGGTGGTGGAGTTTGAGTTGAGCTTTGGGGGGCGGTTTTAGGACGGAATGGGGGTAGCTAGAGGCTCATTGCAGAAGCAGCTGCTGGCAAAGTTGAGGATGTACAGAGAGATTCGGCAATTGAATGCCGGGACCTATTAGATGAGGAAGCATTGTTAGGAGAATTCGCACCTCCCACCTGATTAGAAGCTCCTGCAACCGATGCTTGATAATGGGCCGGTGAAAATATGAATGCAGGACCATGCACTAGATTCCCAGTTGATCCGGGGTGTTGACCTTGTTGGTGTTGGCCTTGTAGCACAAACTGCATCTGATGTGTTGAATCTACTGGATTGGCGTTATTAGAACTTTTAGTAGCTCTGAGATTATGATCACTTGTGACAGCCAACCCTTTCTCTCGTGCACAATTTTGGTTTAAACCTGGCAAGTGTTTCTGAGATTGCTTGCTAACAACCATACTTTCTGCCGAGAGAAGACAGTTGACATTGTTCGTTTTTGTGCCACAAATTGAACCAGAGAGCCTGCTGACAGAAGGGGGTTTGAACGGATGGAGGATGAAGGGTAATTGGGGATTATGCGCAAAGAGAAGGGAGATTGGCTTTTTGCTTTTTATTGTGTGAGGAAGAGAGAAGAGGAAAGAAGATTACCATGTTGCTTTTGTGTTGTTGTTTTTGTTGTGTGTCCCCCTTTGCAAAGAAAAAATGAAGCCTTTAAATAGAACAATGAAGAGGAAAATTGATCTCAAGAATTGATCAGAACCGTTCAAAATCATTAATCCGCAAATTAAGTTCTCTACCAATGGAAATAAAGCAAGGTGTATTTAATTTTTTTATGACAAAAACGCCCTTAAAAGATAAAAATGAAATAAAAATTGAAAGTATTAAAATTAACTCAATTTAAAATAATTTTTTGGAATTTTTCTGAATAAAAAAAAATAAAGAACCAAAATGACCGAAAACGATAAAAAACAGACGAAAATTTATCCGAAAAAAATAAAATGAACACATTAAAATAAACTACATGTCACAAAGATTAAATAAAAAATATTTAAAAAGTCAAAATCGAAATAAAATGATAATTAAAATATCAGGCTAAATAGACGTTTATGGTTAAAAACGAGACTTCAAACTGTACCGAAAAAATAAAGCGAGCATATCGTCATAATCTACGCGAAGCGCAGATCCATAAAATGATCGGTAAAAGGTGAAAACTTGAAATATTTTCTCGCTACTTTCTGCATAGTGTCGAATCGCTTTTAACAGTCTGTCTATAAAACCGAAATATTTTATTATCGACATATAAACAACTTGGAGCAATGCGACAAATGAGTAGATAGATAAAAATGCATGAAGCAAAATGCCGGGTATTTTACAACTGAAAGACGATACAAACTTTGATTTAAACTGACTTTTTCTGGTCAACTTAAATACGACTAATGATGCAAAATATGATGAATGAAGATATTTACTAATGATTGTGGCCAAATGACAGAATATGGTATGAATGTGCGACTGAAAAAATTAGGGGCGAAATTAAGGGTGCAACGGTGTGCCTTGATGAATCAGTCTTCGAGAATCCATAATCAACCGTACTTCTGGCTTGGGAGACTCAAAACCTTAATTGAGGCGCGACACCTGATGCTCTTGATTCAGACCTGTCTTTGCACATGAAACAAAAGAAAACATGAACATACACCTTTGTATGGATTAGAAATTAGTGATACATAGGTTAAAAATGTTCAAAACACTTGACAATCTTCGCATAGTCAAAGCTCGAAGGTGAGACGTTAAAACCGACCGTATTTCGTGACCTTGACTTATCTTAAAAAATGCAAAAATAAAAATGGGATCTTAGGTCAAAAATTGGGGTACAACAGTAACCAGTTACCATAACTGGGTAACCGGATACCCGCGGGCAGAAAGTAATTTTTTCAAGTTTTTAAAGTTTGGCTCATGGCTTAGGCAATTGATCAAACACAAAATCTCCACACATTCAATACATGATTTTGCATAATTCAAGGTCTGGATTCAAACTTTACATGATTGATTAAGATCAACAATTAAACTTCGTGCAACATCATTAATTTGCTTCATCCATTAGGAACTTTCATAAGAATCAACTTAATTCAATAAGCACTTAATTCCACTATCCAATTCCGGATTTACACATGATGATCAAATCAAATCCCAATTCTAATATTAGATCTTAATTCTTAATTCAAAATTCAACCTAAATTCAATTCATGCTTGATTAAAAAAGTGCTTCTCAAATAATCACTTATTTCAAAAGTGCTTAATTCAAGAAAGCTCACCAATTAAAGTGAAGAGGAGGCTTAGGTATAGAGACCGCAACGAATGAATCAACAATCGGAGAAGAATTACTCTTGATCTTGACTTTTGAATCTTGATGAAATTGTTGTTGTATTCTTGATGAAAATGGTGTAGAACCTTGATTTGATCTTTGAGAGAATTGAGAGAAAAGAAGTTTCGTGTTTGTGAGATTTTGTGAATTATGAAGGCCTCCTATTAGAGATTGGTGTAAATGAGAATATATAGTGTGAGAAAATTGGGCCTTGAATGTGCAATTGAATTGACCCTTGTCTTGAAAGCTTAAGCCCGACACGACCATAAAGTGTCACGTCATCATCCGTACGGAATCTCGACTCGTCCATCAAATGGGAAATGAAGATAATAAAATTTGTAACATGTTGCCGAAATAATAGGCTCAATCGGATAAACGGTGATTTAGTTATGATTTTTTTTAAAGTTTCATCTCAGATGAAAATATTTCTTGATTAAGGATTTTCAATGTGTTGTGCGTGGTTTGGACCAAAAATGAAGGCCTTCGGGATACCGTTTGAATTGAAAAACTGAACCAATATTTAGCCAACTCAATTTGTGAACCAATTCCATCAGAACCCGCTCGATAAGATAAAAATAGACCGAGTTATAATTTTCTGAATATGGTGCAGATAAACCATTGTCGCAAATTTCCTGTGAGGACACACTTGATAAATCCATAATTCTGGAGACATTTTGAGCAGAATTAGCTTACGACTATGAGAGATGAAAATTTATAGGACATTGAGATGGACTTTTGGCCACTGGAACGGGCCCAAAACAAGCAACGGACTTCGAGTTATGAATTTTTTAGTTTACAAAAAACTGCACTTTCAGCATACTTTTCCACTATATTTCTTCGAGAAAACTTGCACATTCAGAGACTTATTCAAAGAATTGGCTCTTGAGCCACACATGATTTTGAGAATACGTCACCAGAGATATCTTGTTGAAAGAAAATCTGAATATGATGAACTGGATTAGCCTTTGTGAATTTCTGAATACCCGAACCAATGCAAAACGGCAGACCGATTATTAGTATAAAAAATATCATGAGAGCGTCTATTGATGAAATAAACGTCTATTGTGATTTACCGAGGCTCATCTGAAATGAATTGATCCCATAACCATAAAACCAATAATATGTATGCTTATGGTGATACAATATAAGCCAAATAAAAATCGAAATGAAGAGGGTAAATTCTGGGGTACAACAGCTGCCCCTATTCAAGCTTCTTAAACCTAAAGCGAGATTGGCAACGACAACTTTTTAAGCGATAAAGTGGAAGGTGATTGAATACAAAAAATGAACTTAAAAATTTGCACTATGAATTGAGATGATGGCGTATATCAACACATGGTATAATTTCAATGGCCTCTTTGGCACTGGACTAAAGAACAAGTTTGTAGATGGGAGATAAGGATCAAAGACCGTGGAACTTGATCCAAAAATGCTAGTAATGACTAGACTTTACATAATGCCAAAATGCTGCATTCTGAGACAAAGTACACGAGTGAAGACTCGACTCCACAAAATTCCAGAATGCTGCATTTTGTGGAAGAAAGGTAACGGCCAAAAGGTGCTAGTAACAACTAGACTTCACAGAATGCTAGAACGCTGCATTTTGAGAAAGAAGATAAAGACCAAAAGATGCTAGTAACAACTAGAGTTTACAGAATACCAGAACACTGCATTCTGAAAAAGGTAAGGACCAAAAGATGCTAGTAACGATTAGACCTTACAGAATATTAGAATGCTGCATTCTGAGAAAGAAGGTAAATACTGAAAGATGCTAGTAACAACTAGACTTCACAGAAATCTAGAACACTGCATGCCGATAAAGGTAAGGACCAAAAGATGCTAGTAACGACTAGACTTCATAGAATGCCAGAACGATGCATTCTGAAAAGAAGGTAAAGACTGAAAGATGCTAGTAACAACTAAGCTTCACAGAATGCTAGAATGCTGCATTTCGAAAAAGGTAAGTACCAAAAGATGCTACTAATGACTAGACATCACAGAATGCCAGAACGCTGCATTCTGAGAAAGAATAACAGCCTTACAAGGGAAGACTAGTAACAACCAGACTTCATAAAATACCAGTAATGAATGGTCTCGATCAAACTAGATCAGTTCCTTTCTGAACCAAAACCCATTGGCACGTTATTGAAACGTTGGGTGACCGAGTGAAGGTACGAGTAATGACTCGACCTTAAGAGTACTGCAAAGAATATGCCATACTGGATCACAAACCAAAATCAAGAGTAATGACTCATGCTTTAAAAGGAACTAGTAATGACTAGACCAAGAGGAGTAATCCTCAGGATACCAATAACGATTGGATCCACAAAACAAGGCGAACACCTGATGATCTCGAACTCGGAAGAAGCAGTAAGGACTGACCGTAACCAAGTAATTACATAGATGAAACGAGAAAAATATTAATCTAACTCGGTAGAACCTAGTAATGACTAGACTCAACCAATATGAAATGAATACCAGAACACTGCACTTAAAAATCAGGTGACAAGTCGCGAACTTGACCTTGGTAGGAATGGTATTTACTAACCCACAACGTTGCGCTAGGGCGAAGCTAACAACAACAAGGCAAACGAGTAACAACTCGATAGGAGAAAAATAGTAATAACTAGACTCCTCAGAATACCAGAATGCTGTATTCTGAAAAATATACGCGAGTAATGACTCGACAGGGGAAGACTAGTAATAACTAGGCTCCTCAGAATACCAGAACGCTGTATTTTGAAAAAGATACGCGAGTAACCACTCGACATCAAAAGTGTTGATAACAACCAGACCAAAAGAAACACTGTGCCTGGATAGAACTGGATCATAACAAGTCCAATAAGTAGCGAACATACCACAAAGACTAACCGAAGAAAGCTATATCAAAGATACCAATGATATACGCTCGGAGGAGAGGACACATGTGTCAGATATCGAATAAACATTCCCGGAGTTGCTAGTGGACCTAAGGAAGATGATGGGTACATACCAGGTAAAGTTAGACATATACAAACAAGGAAGAGACCGATCGAAGAAAACTCCAACAAGGAATGCTAACCGCAGATAGACTCCTAGAGAAAGAACCTCGATTGA